AGGATAATTTTTATTTTAAAATCAATAGCATCAAGCTTATCTATTTCGGAGCAAATGTCATTTCTTCTTTTCCTGTACCCATAGTAAAATGATATTGATAGATGGAGTATAATCACTTTCACAAACAAAATTTAACTTCTTTAAAAATTCCACTTTGGATTAACTTAATAATATGGTTAACTCATTTTGTGAGAATGAACAAAGAATGGGCAATGGAGATTTAGAAATAAAATAGATTATTGGCCAGGCATGGTGGCTCATGCCTGTAATTCCAGCATTTTGGGAGGCTAAGGCAGGCACACTTGAGTCCAGGGTTCGAGACCAGCCTGGGAAACATAAGGAAACCCTGTCTCTAAAAAAAAAAAAAAATTTTTTTAATTAGCTGGGCTTGGTGGTAAGCACCTGTGGTCCTAGCTACTTGGGAGGCTAAGGTGGGGGATTGCTTGAGCCTGGGAGGTCAAGGCTGCAGTGAGCCAAAACTGTGCCACTGCACTGCACTCTAGCCTGGATGACACAACAACTCCTGATCTCTAAATACATACATACATACATAAAATATTATAATCCTTTAGGGAAATTTTGTTAAAGTCTCTTTTAGTCATAATATGTTTATTACAATTCAATACCTTTAGAAGAAAAAGTTGCACTGTACCTCTGTATAGTCTTCTCAAGGGTTGGTTCTTATGCCAGTGAAACAGTAAATGATTTGATCACCTCCAGTGAAGAAAAGAGAAAAAGTAGATATTAAAGCTTGAAATATAAATCTAATGTGGAATGCCAAATAGATTTCATCATTTGAACTAAGAACTTAACAGTAGATGTCTTGAACAAGGACTTGAAGAAGATTCTCAAGCTATATCTAGTTCCCTAATCAATTAGATATGTCTGCTATGGACTTCAGAAGTGAAGCATGGGTAGAATTTCTATATGATATCTATTGCTCTGCTTATAATTTCAATCCTGAATATATAATCCCTCTCAACCTCAGTTAGGTCACCATACTAAGCCAGGGTGAAAGTTCAGCCCTCAGTTAAAATGATTTTATGTAAAATGAGTATTTTTAAGAAAGCTAGAAATTATCAAAATGAGAATTTCTTGAGGAAAACTTAACAATCAAATGCTGGATTGAAAAAAAACGCACACATCTGAAAGGTAGGTAAGCATCCAGAGAATACCTCCAGAGTTGTTAATTTGTGTGCTCTAAGTACTCACAGTAATGCATCAGAATGCAAGTCCTTAGAAAAATAACCAGCCATGTTGTTCTTCTTTGTTCTTGTCTCCTTTCATTTGTTCCTTGACTTTAGGACTCCCAAGGTTAGTAGGGTTTTTTCTTAATGCTTTTGCTGTTTAAGTATTTCCTTATAAATTTGCCCATTTTTCTTAAGGATTTTTGTCATTTCTTCCAGCAAATCAAAGTATTTGACAAGGGATAACAATCAATCAGGACTACATTTTGAAATACATAATATATAGACATGCGTGTTTGGTTTTATGAATAGTGTTATATAGCTGCGGTCACTAAAATAACTTCAAACGTAAATTTTTTTGTTTTACTTGTGCAGCATTTGCAATTTCAGTCATTAAATGAGCTTTGCAGGTGTGCAAATACACTGTTAATCCTGGTGTTTTCTGAAAGACTGCTAGCCACATCAACCAATACTTTGGAAGACTGGCAAAATGGAGAAGCTTTTTCAGAATCCAACAATAAATTAATAAGATGAGTTGTATAACAACTGGAACTTTGTTGAGTTAAAAAATAAGACCACCTGAAATTTTATTTTTTTAAGCCATCAAGGATTAGATTTTTAAATGCAAAACCAGATATGACCATTCTTGTCTGTCCTTTCCTTTTTCTTTCATGTAAACATTATTTCCTTGATAGGGAGAGATCCCCTAACCTGTACTTCTCATTACCAAATAATAATAATAATAACAACAACAACATTCAGACTGCTTTGGTGAGTTTTGTTTTGGGATGTTTCTTTTAAGGGGCACTTGTGTGCAGTAGAGAGAAACCATCTCTGCATCTTTAAGGTGATGTGTGGCTTTTAGAAAATACCAATTAAACTATTTAGATGACATGCAGAAACTAGTAAAAAAAAAATACCTGTACCTTTTCAGTGTATTTGTAATGGTTTTTCCACACTGTGTTTAGCTGATCACACAAAGAGCTTTATAGTAACAGTTCTTTACTCTTCTACAAGAGAAAAGTAATCTGATATGTAATTCCCATTGTAGAGTCAGCCTAAGCTGTGAACTTTAAAAATGTGTCAGTAACAGAAGTCAGGCTTCATATTACTTTGTAGCAGCCAAGAATTCAGGTTAAATTTTGGACCCAAATTCTGTAAATTATGAAGAAAACAATTCACTGAGGTGGACATAGGGAGGTTGAGAATACCTTTTACATTCGGATGCCATGAAAATGACTTGAAAAATTTCAAGTTCTTAGGTATTATTGCCACCCCAGTGGTGGCCAGTCATCAATTGTTTTCAAGTGATCCCATACATTATTAGTTCTTATGAATTTGCAATCACTGACTCACTATGAATTCGGTAACCCTTTGTATAAATAATTCTTCTCAAAAGAGAGGATGAACTTAGCACTAAGAAGCATATAGGCATCTTAAACATCCTTTGAAGACCAGCCTAAGAGAATACTGTTTATTTTTTTGCTGCATGTGAAAGTTCACTCTCAGTATCAAGTTTATTTTGTCCGCTAACTTTGTTAACCTTTCCAATTTCTTCAGTATTTGGTGTCTTTTCACAAAGAGCTGTTAGGATAGAACAGTTGCATCAGGGTTAAAGGCCAGAGCCATTACCATGTTAACCTGAAGCATATATACTATTTCTTGAGCTCACAATGTGTTTTTGATTACTTTTTAAAAATAAAAAATGCCAAGAGTATTACAGCATTGTACAAGGCATCTATAAAACTTCCTATATCTAGTATATGTTACATAAATGCTTAAAATATTTCTATTTGTAAAGTCACTTAAAAGGACAGGAAAAAATGCATTTTTTTAATTAAAAGATTCAATGTTGACGGTTTCATTTTAGCTAGCATAGCTGAATTTTGTGAAGAAACCAGAAATTTGAACTTTTTCAAAAACTGATGGATTTCTACTCATCTTTTAAAATAATATTTATATGAGCATGGTTAATGACTGAAACAATATCCATTCTTATTGAAATCATACTATCATAATGAATAACTAACTGAGAGATATTTTCTTGTAAAGATTTACTGCTAATCCCTTGGTCGTAATTCATTTCACTTAAGAGACATTCAGCCTATTGCTTAGAAACAGTATTTGCAGACTTCACCAGGGTAACAGCTCTAATCCTTAAGGTAATCATCTTTCACCCTCCTCTCCAGTTCTTTCTCCTTTTAAGTCTTCACTGGTCTTTTTAGAAAAACAAAAACGAGAAGACAGCTATTATTCTCCTCCATGGGATAGTCTACTCCATTCAGGCAAGTAATATCGTCTTCTGTTTACCTTCATCTAAAACAAGTGCACAGGGTCACCCTCTTCATGCTGATATTTTCCCAAAGCAGAAAGAAAGGCTGCATCAGGAGACAGCCAGATTGCCAACTATAAGAAACTAAGAAGTAAACTCCATTTGCCTTTCTATCTTTGTATGCAATACCCAAGGGAGGGGAGAAAGAACAGATGATAAAGAGGGGAAAGAGGAGAAAGAGAAGGAGGAGAAGGAGGAAAAGAGAAAAGCTACATTTCTATGTCAGAACTCATCCTAAAACAGTATGAATATCTTCTTTTACTTTTGCTAATATTCATTAACAACATTCTGAAGCATACTATGATCAGCAATAAGGCAAGAATAATTATTACTTAATTATTTTATTTAATGCTGGCATTTTCCTTTATAATTTCAGGCCAAAGAAGTATTAGTACACAAAGTATAGAAAACACTAGTACATAAATAATGGATTGCATGCTTTCATATACCATAGCAAAGGACAGGACTGCACAAAGATTTTTCGTGTTTGTTTATGTCAAAGCAACAACTGTCAAAAAAGGGAAAGGATTTCAGAATTCTGTAGCAGGTATAAATTCTTTAGGACCCTGAAACTGTTTATTTTCTTTAATTACTTTTTAGTTATCTACCCACATTTATCATTGGCTTTGGCTGGAAAAATAGAAGTCATCCATAGCCCTGAACGATAATAGACAATTGGCTAAAATTATAATGCATGCAATTTGGTAATGAATGCTAGGTTTTTGTCAAACAACTAGACAGGTCTCTATCATCAAAAGACCTTCTAGATAATAAAAAGGTAAAATTTTTATCCTGAATCTCAAGTTTGTGCTAGGTTTTAGAAGTTATTTAAATTTCTACTTTTCAAAAAATTACTTTAGTCCATGTAAATTTAGAAAAATCACTATTCTACTACCAGAAAACTTATTTGCAAACCACTTCCATGTGAGGCAATAAGAATTAATTGACATTTTAGACTTAGCTTTTCCTTCCAAGTATTTGCTTTCTCCTATAATGTTTTTATTTGAATATGCCCATGATTCTAAGCTAGAAATGATCAAATCTCTGACCTCCTCTGCCATTCAGTCTCCAAGTTCTCTAAACCCCACCTCCTACTCTCTCCACTGTCCGTGGATCTCCCCTGTCATTGACTTAGTTTAGATGCTCATAGAATGCCTGGCTCACCTACCTGGTGGGCAAGAAAACCATATTCTTCAAGTGTCAGTATAGCAAATACAGGTAAAATACGAGAAAAGCTTAGGTTCAATGAATGTATATAGAAATTTGAAATCTGAAGCTCTGGAAAGCAGTTATATAAATTATGTGTTATTTTAATTTCAACATTTGTGTATGCTTTGTATATTATTTTAAATTGTATAAAAGGTGCCCCCAGAATCTTCTCAATGTTTAGGACTTCTAAAATTTATTTTAAAAGCCTTTATCTGTCATTATTATCAGTGACATTTTTCAAAAAATGCACCAATTGTGTCACTTACTTAACGATCTTGATGGGTCCTTAACACCAGAGGGAAGGTTCACATGCCTTAGCTTCACAAATGAGACCCTCAAAGGAATAGCCAGAACTTGTCTTTTCAGTCTTCACACATTCATCCTTTATCCTTTAATCACATTGAACTGTAAGTTCTGCAGACACATAGATTTTCTTTAATATCTCTCTTGAATTTTCCAATAGGATCTTATACATTGGTCTTTCTAAAAGCACAGTGGCTCATGCCTATAATCCCAGCACTTTGGGAGGCTGAGGTGGGCATATCACCTGAGGTCAGGAACTCAGGACCAGCCTGTCCAACATGGTGAAACCCTGTCTCTACTAAAAAATACAAAAATTAGCTGGGTATGGTGGCATATGCCTGTAATCACATATACTCAGGAGGCTGAGGCAGGAGAATTGCTTGAACCCTAGAGGCGGAGGTTGCAGTGAGCCAAGATCACACCACTGCACTCTGGCCTGGGTGACAGAGCCAGACTCCATCTTAAAAAAAAAAAAAGAAGAAGAAATAAAAAGGATAATAAAAACTAATGACAGGCATATAGTCTTAAGACTTCATTAAATTTAGATTATTTTGCTTTGGACCAGCACCGACACTTCTTTTGCCTATTCTTTGACATTTTATTCATTCAGGTTCCAAACAATCCAGTCTTTAATATACTCTACAGATGACATGTCAACTGGCAACATCCTTCCTCGGATATTTTGTTTTTATAAAGGCAGGATGTGGCTTCTTCAATCTGACCTTTGGGCACTCATTATTATGAAAATACTAAGTGAATTATAAAAATCTATTTATTGACTCACATGTTGGTTCACCATATAAAATCAGCAAAAAATGTCGCCACAACTTCTACATACCACACCCCAAAAGGAGAAACTTCATGCACTACCATACTATTAAGTAGTCTCAGAAATCCCAAGCCACTGTTTTAAGGCTGAGTTCCACAGTGAGGTCCTGTGAACAAAACCTCAGGTTCCCACATAGGGTGGCTCTCTCTGGAAGGAAAGGGAGCTTTCGCTTCCTCAAGCTGCAGATAGCCTCATGCACAAACCTTAGGAACAGGGCCAGACCAAGATCCGTGGGTACTCAGGACAAACTAATAATTTGCCATCCCTTTAAACCTATACTTTTCAAAGTCTAGCTAGATCACTATGTATTTAGAAAAGAGGTTGGAAACTCACGAAGAAAAAGAGAAAAAACAAAAGAAGCATTCACACAGCTTCTCCTCTTGTCATGAAAAATCAACATGAAAACAGCAAAAACTCTTGGCTCGCCATGGTCACTTTTATGTGTCAGTTGGACTGGGTCATGGGGCACTCAGATCTTTGGTCAAACATTTGGTTGTTTCTGTGAGGGCATTTTTGGATAAAATTAACTACTAAAGCAGTTATCCTTCCTAATGTGAATGAGCTTCATCCAATCAGTTGAAGGATTGAATAGAACAAAAAGCTGGAACTTCTCTGAGTAAGAAAGATTTCCTCCTGCCCAATGACCTTCAAACTGGGACATGAGCTTTTTATTTTCCTGCCTTTGGAATTGAGCTAAAACATCAATTCTTCCAGGGTTCCAAGAATGCCAACCTTCAGGGTAGAGCTACACCATCAGTTCTCTTGAAAATGACTAACTCAGGAAAAAACAAAACAAAATGCAACATATATTGAAAGATGTCAAGGATGTTTATTTCCAAAAAGTAAGATGTTTCCATATTAAAAGATCTATTAATATAATTCAACATACAAGTAGATCTAAAGAGAAAAATCACACAATTATAAAAATGCTAAAAAAAGATTTGGTAAAACAAATAATCTTTAATAATTTCCTGTAAGTTTGCAAGTGTGTGTCTATACATGTGCATATGTATACACATACACATAAACACCCCTGTATTTCAGGCTTAACACAGAAATACCAAGAAGATCCTCAGTAAAGTAAAAATTAAGACAAAGATGCCTACTAGCTCACAATCATTTAACACTATATAAGAAATATCAGCATTAGAGTTCAACTAGGAAAATAATTAGAAGCACAAAAATTAGATATACAAGATCAAATATAGAATTAGTTACACTGGTATGCTTGCATACATTGAATATTTAAGAGATTGAAGTTCTAGGGAATTCAGTAAATTGGCAAGGACAATCTGAAATCTACATCTTTCATAAAGACACACAACAGTTTAGAAGATAAAATGGAAAAAATTCCTTTTTCACAACAATGAGTAACTGAAACAATAAAAATGTTTTAAAACTTGTCTAGTGATAAGCTTACAAGAAATGTACAATATCTATAGAAGGCAAACTTTAAAATACTACTAAATTATGTAAGGGAGGCTGGAAAAAATAAAATTTTATAAAAGGAAAACCAAAAAAATTTAAAGTAACCAATACATTTAACGCTACTTCTATGAAATATTAGGAAGATGTTTCTGCTTCCTACTAGACAAACGGCTTTTGGCATATGTATGGAAAAATAAAAACAAAGGATTAAAATAAAATGAATGCTGGGAGACCCTAGTACTACCACATTTTAAAACATATTCAAAAGCAATAATAGTTAGATGAGTGAGATAATAATACAGGAAGAAATAAACAGATAATATGAAAAGAACAGAATATCCAGGAATTAGCCCAAATACATTTAGGAAATTGTACCCCAAAGGTTGCAATTTAATCACCAAAGGAAAAAAATGGATTATTTAAGAAATTGTGTTGAGAAAGATAAATAGCCATTTAGGATAAAATATTTTTGGTTACATACCTCATATCTTATACAAATGTAAATTTCAAATGGATCAAAGAGTTGAATGTGGTAAATTAAGCTGTATAAATACTAAAAGAAATAATGTTACCATGTTTTATAATCTCTGATAACTAAAGATTGCTTTTGACCCTCCAAAAACTACATAAGACACTGATAACATTATTAGATTTTAGGAAGGTGTGTTGGTTTTATTGATGTGTCAACTTGGCTAGGCTATGTAAGGTCTCCAGTTGTTCAATCAAGCACTCAACTAGATGTTACAGGAAAGGTATTTTTCGGATGTAAATAAAACTCCTAATCAGTTAATCTTAAGTAAGAGAGATTATCCTGGATATTCTGCATGGGCCTGACTGAATTCACTGGAAGGCAAAAATGCAGAGAGATTTTCTGAGAAAAGGAGATCTCCTGCCTGTGGACAACAACCTCTACCTGTGACTATGGAGTTCCCTCTGGCTTGGGATCTTCCTTTCCTGACTACCTTGCTGTACAGTCTAATAGCTCCAGCCTGCGCTTGTGGGTTTAAGACTGCCCATAATCTCACTCTTCCTGAATGGCTGCCCTGCAGATTTTGGACTTACTTAGCCAGACCCCACAATCATGTAAGCCGATAGATAGATAGATAGATAGATAGATAGATAGATAGATAGATAGATAGACAGACAGACAGATAGGCAGGCAGGCAGGCATGTAAATATATATTCCTAACTCCTACTGCTTGTTTGTCGAACCATGGTTGATACAGGAGGGTAACTATGTGTTCAGGATAAGAGATCTGGGAGATAAACTTTCTGCTGTAGATACTCTTATATTTTTAAAATTGGAAAAATGTGAATATATTCCAAATCAACAAATAAACCAAATACATTTAGACGATATGCCCTAAACACAAAGTATTGAAAGCTCTGTGTTAATTAATAGAAATGTGTTCTAACCTCTTAAAAGGACGTAGAAACTTGCTATTTTCTACCAAAATTAAATTCAGTATTTTCTCAAACCCCTAATATTTGCCATTTGCCTACACATGGCTCTACTTCTAATTCTATCTCAAGCACCTGTATTTTAAAAAAATGTATATTGAAAACTTAGTATGCATGTTGACACATAAAAAAGAGCATTGGCTTATCCCAAGGCTTCAAACTGACCCCCTAGCATGAATTGGCCTTCATTTATCTACTTGTCTTGCTCTCCCCAAGGCCCTGCCTCTGCCAACAGCAGTATGGAATGGTAGAGAGCCCGGCCCCGAGAGCGGAGACATCAAGGGTTCAGTCTAACCATAACATTTATTAATTCTGTTATATATAGTCTCTAACCAAACTGCTCTAAATTCAGAATAATCTGTGTAATGGTAATAGAAACAGCTGCTCTGTCCATACCACATAACATAATAAACCTGGAAGCATTTGCACTGTGCAGTGTTAGGTAAATGCAAGTGAATGTTATCATTGTTAGTTATTTCAGATTTGAGTCTACTCACACTTGGACTGATGTAACTACAAATCAAGAATGAAAAGAAAAGGAAGGGGTAAGTTACTTGCTAAGTATTTGCTCTGCGTAGTCTGCTTTCTTAACCTCATTAAATATAGCAACTCTTGAAGGTAGGTTAACTCTGCCAGAGATCCAGAACAGATAAGGAGGGAAACTAAATTTTTTTTCTTTTTTGAGGGGGATGGAGTCTCACTCTGTCACCAGGCTGGAATGCAGTGGCATGATCTTGGCTCACTGCAACCTCCGACTCCCTAGTTCAAGTGAGTCTCCTGCCTCAGCCTCCCAAGTAGCTGGGTCTACAGGTGCTCATGACCACGCCCAGTTAATTTTTGTATTTTTAGTAGAGACGGGGTTTTATCACGTTGGCCAGGATAGTCTTGATCTCCTGACCTCGTGATCTGCTCACCTCGGCCTCCCAAAGTGCTGGGATTTCAGGTGTGAGCCACTGCACCCTGCCGGGAAGTTAAATTTTAAAGAAAAAACTGCCTGGCATGGAAGTTGGTACTACAATGGAATGGCCATACAAATAACTTTCCTTGTTTATTTATATATCGCAAACATAAATATATATGTAAAATAGCCCAAATCCTTAAGCCCAAAGAACCATCAGATTAAAGTTAGTTAAAACAATGTTCTACATTAGACAAATTAGACTAGAAGGCTGAGATTGCATTAAAATGTCCATTTACCTGGTTGAAGAGAAACACCGAACACTTTGTTCAAAACGATTTTGTTCACAGCCTTATAAATTTTCTCAGCAATAAAATTACTTTAGAAAAAACACTTTCAAAAATCTCTCGGATGAACTATAGATTTATTCTAATAGGGCATAAATTGAATTATATAAAGAAGGTTTTTTTCTGAATGTGGGATAACATAAATACATGGTTTTTGCAGATTAAGATTTTGTTAATTTTCTCAGAATATCCTTATTGTAAAACTAAATATTTATTTTTAGACTACTTTATTTTTGAGGCTGTGTATTAATATACTATAATTATAATTTGATTTATATTTTAGATTCATAAGCTTAGTCATTTGAGTACTATATGCCATATTTCTATTATTTTATAATTTTTATAATAATCAGTTGTACTATTTTTCTTAATGAGGTAATAGGCAGAGAGGTCATGAATAACTAAAACTTTATTACATATTTGAAATTTTCTAAGAGTAGATCTTAAGTGTTCTCAAACAGTGGTAACTATGTGAGGTGATGGATGTTCTAATTAAAGTGATGGTAATCATTTCACAGTGTATACATATAACCAATTATGGCACTGTACACATGAAATACATATATGATTTTGATAATTATACCTCAATAATGCTAAAACAATAAACTTTATCTAAAACAGAAACACTTTATTACATACAAATTATACCTTAATAAAGTTGATTTTAAGAAAAACTGAACCTACCTCTTGGGACATGTCCAGAACTGTACAATGTGGTTAGAAAGATCAGTCTTCCTCATACCTTCAAGCTGTGAGACTGGCGTGCTTCTTTTTAATCATTTGTCCTACAAATAGAAGACAGAAGAGACTTGTTCAAGAAAATTTTTATTTGCAATCACTTCTCTGCTCAAATCCTTCTAACTATTCCCAATTAGTTTAAAAACAAGTTGATACTTTGAATTGGAAAGCTAACAGTTAATTACTCCATTACTTGATTACTACAATTTGACATAGTACTTATTTTCCAAACATATCATTCAGAATTCTGTCTCCTAATTACAAACTGTCTTCCTTGCTTCCTATCAATCCTTCAGAAATGTGTTTCAAGTTCAACTCCTTTCTAAAGCTAGTCCAGCTAAAGGCAAGTGCCCTGCTTCTCCATGTTCACACACTCACTCATGTGCACACACAAATGCCTATGGCTGATCATGTACATAAATATATCTGTTTTTTGGTTGATGGTGACTGTGTTGCATGTAAGTTATTATGCTTCAAGCATCTTTTGTAAATGCATGTAAAATATTGTAAAATGGGAGGCCTTTGTAAATTTTACTTGCCATCCTTTTTACTTTTTTCTGATTATAAGCACCTTGAGGGCAGTGTTGCCATTTCCATTTATGACCTGGCTGGTTATAGCTCTTCTAATATGGCAGGTGTTTAATAAATTGCATTGCATAAGGATCTGTGGTGGACTGATTAACTTCTTGACAAGTGGAATTTATTTAATATTCCCCTTGAGTTCACAAATGGTTTATGCACTTCACAAAGCACCATTACTTAAAATCATTCTGGCCTTGCCTGAATCTGACCAACAACCTCTAAATAAAACACTAAGGGTTCTAAAATGAAGACTGTCTTTTAGCCACATGGAGTGTTTTCATTTTTATTACCCTATTGTTACACACGTATCAGACTGGAATATGGTTTACATACTAGAACCTTCCAACCTCCAACTCAGCAGTCTTGCACTGGTCTTTCCATGCTCTGTTTTCTTTGTGAATCACGGATTAGTAGTGTAGCCTTTCTGACCTGCCATAAAACTCACACATTCCCTTAAACATATGCTACTCTACAATGAATTTCATTGAAGGAAAAAATACCTGTGAATTCTACCTGACTGATTTTTTTCAGCTTTGGGGTACTGTGGTTAGATCAAATAATGCAAGTTATGCCAGGGAGAGCCAGGAACTTCGGGCCTCCATAAATTCTGATCCTGTAAATCTAATGACAGAATTAGAAAGAACATTTTTTCTTTGTCAAGGTTCAAACTTCTTTTTGTTTAAACATCAGCTATTTCTAATCAACTTGCTGTTGTTTCTCAGACAAAGCAGAATCAGAAGTCATATTCCAAGGAAGGATGTGGCACATGATAAATTACTGGAAATAAAGCTTACTACTGGAAAATACGCTTTAATAGTTCTCACTTGGATATCACACTTTTGTTTTCTCTCTTTCTCTCTCTCTAGCACTGGACTTTGGAAAACACACATATCCATACCCACATCAACATAAAATGACGCCTAATTTTGTATGTATTAATACTTATTTACATTAGTAAGTTGAAGAAGTTTTAAGTCACATTTAAATATCTTTATCATTTCCAAAGCTTTTTAAGGAAAGGGATCTTATTTATCTATCACTAGAAAATACTGCTATGAAATTCCCCTCTGCCATCTACACATAGAGAAGAGATATATACACACCAATACACAAATATTAATTTTGTTTGCCCTTTTCTACGCAGAAACTCTGGAAGAATAAATTCTTAATTTGTAACAAAATATTTTATGTACACTTCGGCTCATTCATTTTTAGGGAAGCATCTCTATCAGTTATATTAATTTGTTCTCATTATGAATACATACAAAGCACTTTTAATCTTCTTTTTGAAAGTAGACAGTGGGGGAAGTTATTTTATCCCATCATGAATTACGGTTTTAAATTTACGTAGTTTTTAAAAATATTTTTTAAATTAATATACTTTGGAGTTTTCTGAGGAATTTTACATTCCCAGAAAAACTTGGTAGAACATACAGTTTCCATACATTATCATCCAACCCTCCCCACTTATAATTTCCTGTATTATTAACAATTTGCTTTAGTGTGTAGTACATTTTTAATATTCTTTTAATATATGTTTTTGGTAGGATTTACATTAATAATATTCAATCTATGCTTAATAGTAGCTGAAAGTACATCCTTAAATGGACATTTTACCCTTACGTTAAAGATACACAATAAAGATCTATATAAAGTTATAACTGTATATTTTTATGAGATATAAATAGTACATAATCCATCCCATTATTATGATACTTTATAAAATTTTAAGCCTACCTTGATGCTTTTTTGAAATAAACACACACACACACATACACACACACACACACACACCTGCTTGTTTATTTTCTGAGTCCTGCATGGGCACTTTACTTCAAAACGTGCTAATTGCTCTGACTTTGGCCCAGGCTCTTTGCTGGGCTGCACACCTCTGCCTGCTACATCTGTGTTTACATAACTTGTGGGATCACTCAGAGCCCTGCTGCTGGTCCCTTTAGCTTCTTTCAGGACCAGGCTTCACTGAGTCTAACCAAAGTCAAAGTCACCAAGATCAGTTACTCCTGAGAGCTTGCTTTGGTCAGAATTTGCCTTTCATTAACAGTTTGATGCAAAATCATAAACAACATATTCCCTCAACTGAGGACATATGGTTTGTAAGAGTGTGAATTTAAAAAGTAGATAAATTACTTTGGAAGACCTTTACTATTAATTTCTGTCAGGAGACAGTAAAATAGTAAAGGGCATCTAACATTGTTCCAAAAACAACACTTCCTGCAACAGGGTAGAACTCTCTGCAGCGTCATATTGAAATTAACCTTGCTCTCTGTTGGTTGCTGAGCGCTATTCAAAGTTTTTCAGCTGAAGTTAAACAGAAGTATTATTCTTACATAAGCGTATAAAACCAAATTCATATATTTTATATATAATTAATGTCTGAAACACAGGTCAAATAATGTCAGCAACAAGATATAAGAGGGAAGAAAGACAAATATGTAAATATTAGACGTCAGACTCACAAATATAATGAAATAAAAAGTAGTTGGAAACCTATGCCTATTCTAATACAATGAATATATTATTTGTTGTACTCTGGTATGATTTTTAGGTAAAGCAAAACTAATTTGTCAGTTTGAATGCCTGAGAAAGAATTCAAAATAATTGTTTTAAAGTAGTTTATTAAGCTACAAGAAAACACTGTTATATACCTTAAAAACATAAAAACAAATACACAAACAAAATGAAAAATTCAACATAGAGATGGGGGAAAAAACAACAAACAGAAATACTGAAAATGAAGAACACAAACGAATAAAATGAAAAAGGCAATGGAGAGTGTCAACAGTAGGCTTGATCAAATGAAAGAATCTGTGAACTCAAGAGAGACATTTGAAAATATCTAGTCAGAAGAGAAAATGAGCAGTGAAAAAGGGATGTAAAATGCCTGTGGGATACACGGGACACAAGAAGGAGAGCTAACTTTTACACTGCAGGAATTTCAGAAGAAAAGATAAAAGGGTATAAGTTTATTGAAAGAAATAATAGTTGAAAACTCCCTAAATCTACTGAAAGATACAGACATCTAGGTACATGAAGATCAAAGCTCTCTAATCAGGTCTAGCCCAAAGAAGACTTCACCAAGGCATTTTATAACCAAACTGGCAAAAATTCAATGACAAAGAAAATCTTAAATGCGCAAGAGAAAAGTGGTTTATCACAAAAAATGGAAACACCATATTGGCTACCAGATTTCTCAGCAGAAACTTTGCAGGCCAGGAGGTGTTATAATATTTTTGAAGTACTGAAAGAAAAAAATACTGCCAAGCAAAAATACTTTGCCTGGTATAGCTGTTCAGTAATGGAGACAGCAAGACTTTCTCAGACAAGAAAAGCTGAGAGAGTTCATTATTACTAGATTTGCCTTACAAGAAATGCTGAGTGGATTACTTCAAGCTGAAAAAATAGATGCTTATTAGTAAAATAAATTAATATGAAAGTATAAAACTTACTGGTAAAAGTAAAGAGTCAAATTCAGAATATGTAATACTGTACTGGTGGTCTGTGTATCACTTATAAGTCTAGTATAAAGCTTAAAAGACAAAAGTATTAGAACTATGGCTACAATAATTTGTTAATCAATACACGATATAAAACTATGTAAATTGTGTCACCGGAAACATAAAAAGGGTGAAAGAGAGTAAGTGTGCAGAGTTTTTATATATAATCAAAATTAAGATATTAGCTTAAGATAGATTGTTAAAATTATAAGGTGTTATATGTAAGCCTCACAGTAATCACAAGCAAAAAGCTACAGCAGATAAACCAAAGATAAAGAAATCAAACCATACCATTAAAGAAAATTATCAAATCACAAAAGCAGAAAATAAGAGAAGGAGAAAGGAAGAAAGACAAAACAACAAGAAAATAATTAACAAAATGACAATAGTAAGTATTTACCTAAAAATAATTACCTTAAATGTAAATGGATGAAATTATCCAGTTAATAAAACAGAGTGGCTGAATGGGTTAAAGAAAAAAATATGTAAGACCCAACTATATGCTGCTTATCAGACTTACTTCAGCTTTAAGGATACACATAGACTGAAGGATGAAAAATGATGTTCCATGCATGTGGAAACCAAAAGAAAGCAGGGGTAGCTATACTTACATCAGACAAAGAAGAGCGCGAGTCAACAGTGTAAAAAGAGAAAAAGAAGGTAATTATATAATGGCAAAGAGGTCAATTCATCACAGATACAAAAATTATATATATTTATGAACCTAATAGCAGAGCAGCCAAATATGTAAAGTTAATACTAACAGATGAAAATGGAGAGATAAACAGCAATACAGTAACAGTAAGGGGCTTCAATACCCTACTTTGATCAATGGATAGATTATCCAGATAGAAAATCAATGAGGAGACATTGGACCTGAACTATCTCTAAAAATATATACAGAACCTTCCATTCCACAACAGCAGAATACATTATTCTCAAGCATAAAACAGAATATCATCTACAATGGATTCTATATTAGGCCACAAAACAAGTCTTAATAAATGTAAGCAGACTGAAAGTATATATTTTTTCCAACTATGATAGCATAAAAATAGAAATCAATGACAGGAGAAAAATTGGAAAATTCACAAGTATGTGGAAATTAAACATGTTCTTTTATCCAAAGATAACAGCCTTTCTTCCAAAGATAATAGTATTTGGAAAAAAGTTATCTTAATTGATGTGAAGTGATATCTCATGGTGGTTTTGATTTGCATTTCTCTGATGATAAATGATGCTGATTATCTTTTTATATACCTATTGGCCATTTGTATGTATGTCCTCCTTGGAAAACTACCTATTCAGGTTCTTTGCCCATTTTTTTAGGTAAAAGTTATCACTTTATATTTACTTTGCACAATTGTGGAACCAACCCAAATGCCCATCAATCAACGAGTGGATAAAGAAACTGTGTGTGTGTGTGTGTGTGTGTGTGTGTGTGTATGAGATGGAATATTAGCCATTAAAAGGAACAAATTAATGGCATTTGCAGCAACTTGAATGAGATTGGAGACTATTATTCTAAGTGAAGTAACTCAGGAATGGAAAACCCAACACTGTATGTTCTCACTGACATGTGGGAGCTAAGCTATGAGGACACAAAGGCATAAGAATGATACAGCAGACTTTGGGGACTTGGAAGGAAGGGTGGGAGGGGGCAAGGGATAAAAGACTACAAATAGGGTGCAGTGTATACTTCTTGAGTGATGGGTGCAGCAAAATCTCACAAAGCACCACTAAAGAACTTACTCATGTAACCAAATACCACCTGTATCCCAATAACCTATGGCAAAATAAAAAAAATTTTAAAGGCTATTATCAAAAGTTCATGGTAGCATTATTCACTATAACCAAGATATGGAAACAATCTATCTATTGATGGATAAATGAGTGGATATATCATGGGTGTGTTTATGTGTGTGTACACAATGGAATATTAATAAGTCTTTAAAAAAAAAAAAGAAGGTCCTCTCATTTCAGACAGTATGAGTGAACCTGGAAGACATTATACTTAGTGAAATAAGCCAGACACAGAAAGACAGATGCTACATAATCTCACTTATGGGTAGACTCTAAAGAAGTTGAACTCAGAGAGAGGAGAATGATAGTTACCAGAGGTTGGAGGTTGAGGAAATGGGGAGACTTTGGTCAAAGGTTAAAAATTTCGATTAGGCAGGATGACTGAATTTTGGAGACCTAATGTTCAGCATGGTGACAATAGATTTTTAAAATATACTATATGCTTGAAATTCAGAGAAACTAAGAGAGCATATCTTACGTAGATAGGCATGTTCATTAGCTTGACTGTGGGAATTACTGAACAATGTGTATATACATTAAAACACCATGTTACACTACTTTAAAAGAAAGAACTATTTTTTTCCAGTGTGGTATTCTTTTAGGTAAAGCACAAGCAGATTTGTCCACAAATTTAGAAGCAACACTTTACATTTAAAGAGCTAAGTAAAGCATATACAAATTAATAACATGCATTTCCAATAAGAAAGGAAAGAATTACAATTAAGAACTTTTAACTTCGTTCTAAATATATCAAGTCATCGACTTTGTGGATTGATGTGTTTATTTTAAATTTTTAATCCTTTGAAAGTCTTTATACTAATCAGTGCTGTTTAAAACTGATTTGCTAGTATTATACTAATATAGGTTGATAAATTCATTCCCTACCTATCATGAAGTAGCATTAAGATGAAACATATTTTGTTAACTGTTTTTTTTGTTTGAGGCAGTTATGAATGTTCTATATCACTGCAGGTAATTCCATATCTATTAATAACCTATGGCAAAAGAAAAAAAATTTAAAGTTCATGGCAGCATTATTCACTATAACCAAGGTATGGAAACAATTTATCTATTGATATATAAATGGATGGATATATCGTGTGTGTGTGTGCGCGTGCGTGTGTGTATTTTCTCTTTAAAATATTGCTCAAAGCTCACCTACACAGAATATGTGAGGTTTAAAGAAATATAATATTGATAATCTTAAAAGGAATCTGCTTTATGTTCATTTTAGCAAATATTTTCATTGAAAGTCCATGTTACATGGTAGAAATAGCCTATATTATGTCTTTGCAGTAGACTTGAATTCTGGTGAATGTTAGTGATACTCCACTGGCTTTTGACAATGTTAGTAGCTCAGAACACAGATTTTAGGGGTATCAGCCCACTTAACATTGAGAGTGGCTCAGTGAGATTTGATTCAAGGGAAAAACAGAAGTAAGGATCATGGACCTCTCTGATATGAGACATCGTGGTGCCCTATTTACTAACTAAAAGGCTGGAGTCAAGCATGTGACCACCTTACACGCCATTGTTTCTTTTACTCTCTATGACATGTACTTGGCCTTTCAGCACAGCACATCTACCCTGGCAATACTTCCAGCCTTCTGCTGAACTGGCTCAAAAAACAAACAAACAAAAATTCTATATCTGAAAGTGCACAAGGTGTTAAGAAACTAAGGTTCAATGCATGTTAATTTTAACTCAACAAATGCTTGTTATAGTGGATGATATATAATATGGAGAAAAATAAACATTTCATATAAGACCTAAGGATTATATGTGAGGTTTTTTGTTTTGCTTTTACTCGGAAGAAAATTTTAAATCTTTAGTTTTATTGACTACCCTCTTAGGAGACTTCTAATATGACTTAGAATTTTTTTCCCAAAACTTTTGCTTTTAAGTATTAGACATTAATTTTCAACCACCAGTAGGTAACTTTTTCTTGACGTCATCTCACATTGGAAGATGAGATATGTGCCTTTTCTAGATAATACCAGTTCCCTACAGCTTACAATAATTGTGTTTTATGGAAAGCACTTTAGGTCCTCAGGATTGTACTTTCAGTCAGCCACTCTACATATACACATGATAAGCAGTTTGCCACTTGTAAACATTTCTTAATACTATACAGAAAATTTTTGTTTTTTCTGCTATTATTTCTTTTCACAACTATTTCCTAATTTGAGGTTATATGCGTTGGTATCTGTCTATGATTTTTCTTTCATATGGCCTTTTCGGGCCTTCTATAACTCTATGTGTACCCACTCAGCCAAAAGCAAGTTCCTAACTCTGAAAGTACGAGATTTTAATTAGTTGGTTCATGGCATTAATGACAAGATATAAGAAAATTGATTTGCAGACACTTAGGTTGCAACAAAAGTTCCATATACAAATTTATAAGTGCGTGCACACGAGAGGGGTGGATCCAAGATGGCCGTTTAGGAACAGCTCAGGATTGCAGCTCCCAGTGAAAGCGCAGAGGGTGAGTGGACGCCGTGTTTTTATTGCCCACAGACTAGGGAATTCCCGGGCAGAGGTGCTCCACGGTCACCAGCGCAGCTGTTTCGGCCAGCGCGGCTGTGCCGGCCAGCGCCGGCC